TTTCAAATCCCAGAATTCCCCAGCCAGCTTTAAGACTTGTTGATTTCAAATCCCAGAATTCCCCGGCTGGGGAATTCTGGGAGTTGAAGTCCACAAGTCTTAAAGTTCCCAAGTTTGGACACCCCTGCCTTAAACGAATGCAAGTGTACTTGAGAAAAATAAGAATAAAATAGGGTATTTAGACGCCATCACTACCGAAGCTTGCAGCAATTTCTGCTGACACAAACTCGCAGCAACACAACGTCCATCGCGTCACTAAGAGCCAAAAGCGACAACAATTTCCAATTATCCATAGTAAATAGTCCAATGTCGCGCATGCGCGCTTTCCTTCCAGGTTCCGCCCGGCTCTTTTAACTCCGAAGACTCGGGTGACGTCATCCTTCTACTCCGGCGTCTGAAATTGATAAGACAAGAGGAGACGAGAGAAAGCGCGCCTGCGCCTGTTCACGGCGAATCAGCGACGCTCCGGGCCGACAGTGGCAGCCGCCTAAGCCAATGGGAAAAGGTTCTGGGCGCGCCCCACCCCCACTTCTGGCGTCCGGACGACGAGGTGCGCCTGCGCATGGGAGGGGCGAAAATTTTTTGAAACGGACGGCGGTTAAAGAGAGAAATTTGTCGCGGCGGTTGCTGTGGCAGCGGAGCGGCCTAGGTAAGGCCCTGAGACGGCAGGAGCCGGAGGGAACGGACGGCAGGAGCTGGTCGAGGAGGGCCCGAGGCCTGGTGAGAAGAAGGAGTAAAGGCGGGAAGACTGGTTGGACCCGGAGGGCCGGGTGAAGCGGCGCCCCTGAGGTCTTTTGCACCTGCGACACCTTCCCCCCGTGGGTTGTCTGAGCAAACGCATCTTCTGCCAGGCCGGTTCCCAGCGTTCAGACGGGACTGAGAAGGGAATAACTCTCTGCCCGGCCCTCAGGTAACGTTGGCCCCGGGTTCGATTCAAGGCCCGAGCCGGTTTTGGGGCTGGGCTGCAGCCCGGCTGACTTGTTGGATTCTGGATAGGTGGGGGTGGGGGAGAGGGTCTTTTAAACTCGCCCATACAGGACTCTTAAAATCCCCCCAGGGCCGCATTCACAGCATTGTGGGGCCCCGAGCAAAGCAGTGTACTGAGGCCCCTACGACAACTACTCCCAGGGATAAAAATGTAAATAAGGTTAAACACATATTTATTTTACTGGGGGTGGGGGGTGCACTGACGGATCTCAACCAATCTCATTGTACATATGTTGTGTGCTGACAATAATGAATTATTTATTATTAGTAGCATGGGGCCCCTATGCTCATGGGGCCCATGGGCAAGTGCCCATCAGGCCCATGTGTTAAGATAACCCTGAATTCCACCCCCTCCAAAATATGAGAAAGGTCCCTTAGAGGGCAGCCCAGTCCACCCACCCTTTCCCCCCCTCTCACCCTTGCAACCTTTCCCAATCTGGTGCCTCTCTAGGCAGAGTGTGACAACTCCTGTCATCCAGTTCTTGCCTTGTTGCAGTTTTTTACATTGTATGCTGTATGTAGATGACATTCCCCCCCCCCCCCCCCTTTCAGGGGTTGTTGGATCTTTTGGTTTGCTGAGGATGTTTTTGAAGGGCTTGTGTGCTAGGAGGATGGGTAACCTCCATCTCACCTTAGGCATCTTTTTTTTTAACTATTACCATTTGGCAGACAGTACAGGACAATAAAAACAAGTACAGATAGGC